TAAAGTGGAAAGGTGAGCTCATATATCACTGGCATGACCTTTTAAAAATTACTGTGAGACACTTTTTACTCCTTTTAAATTGTAAAGAGTTCAGAGTTCAAGTTGTGGATTCCTGAAATCAATAGGAAAATTCCCATTTCAGTCCAATTGTGCAAAGACCATTCTTGGAAATTGCTGTGAGATTTCTTTCTTTGTTTGAAAACATATTGCTTTAATTTACTATGTTGCTGGGGATTTGGGCTCCTTTAATTTCTTATGTGAACATTCTGTTCATTTCTTTTGGTTTAAAAAAAAAAAAAAGTTTTACTTTTTTTTCCATCTTTTTACTAATTATAGTTACCATGTTTTAAACCTATGTGACCTCAGGCCTTGTACAGGCATGGGATCCTTGAAGATGTTACAGTAAGTCTTCTGTCTGACATTGGCCTGTGAGTTAAGAGGGTGATAAGAAAATATAGCTAAGCAGCCCATAAGCTTGTATCTATGCCTAATTTTGTGACACAAACTGTTAAGCAATTGCAGTTTATTTCTCAAGTATGCAATTATTTACTCAGGCTGTGACTTAAAGCTCTGGTGTGAGTCCACTCCTGTCAGCAGGAGTACAGACCTAGGCTGGCAAACCACACATCAGAAAGGCAGCCGTTCTCAGTGCCTGTCAGTCACACTACCCATACAGTCATGGGAACGCTAGCTTTTCACAAACTACTAAACAATTTTGTTAACATACTCGGAAAGCAATCAGTACTTTGGTGTAGGGATATTTCAGCTGGTTCTCCTAGAATGCCCAGCCAGCCTTTAGACTGGCTGTCTATATGTAATAATAGGGATCCATACATTTAATTAGATTGAAAAGCAGAGAACTTCCTATCCTTTGCCTTATAACCTCACAGACATATCTTTGCTTTCAGAAAGAAATCATTCATTTCACCTGTTTCAATGACAGAGCAAAGCGGTGGGAAGAAAGCTGCAGCCCTGCTTTTCCCATGACACAACCCTCGCGCTGCTACCAACCAGCTGAGGCAAAGAACAAGTCACCTTCAGTGTATGAAAGACATATGCAATCATCACATATGTAACAAAAACTGATCTTCAGACCTAATGAAAGTAAATGGGCATGTGTTTATAAACAGAAAAAGTGGTGGAAAAAGGTGTACCTGCTCTGGGAATAAATTTCCAGATGGATATGCTATACAAACGAGAGAAAGGTGAGCAGGCAAATGATAATCTAATTGCCAAAATCTGATCTTTTAATCTCTATGAATGCTTAGTAAAGTGCAGTATGAACTCTCATGTTTTAGTATTTAAGACTGTAGAGAACAGTAACACTCCTTGCCCTTCCAAAATAATCTGTCTTCTAGGAGAAATACTAGAAATAAAATGCTGGAAAATATCCTGTGGGACTTGGACCAGTAAGACAAGTTCTGACCTGAACTCAAAAAAATTACTTTTACTTAGGGTACAGCACTTGTAAGAATTACTTGAGTAGCTTTAAAACTTAGTTCAATAAAAGAAAGTAAATCAACACAGGCTGTTGGAAAGAAATGTTGATTAAGGACATTGTTTGCAGGAGTACAAAAAGATGAATAGCTACTTATAAATTTTAGGACTTTGCTCAAAGTCATCTAGGGAATTTATGAATTATGAAGTTGATAAGAACTGATTTAAGATAGAATAATTTGGTTGAATGCAACAAAAACTGGTAAATGGAATGATCAACCTTTCAAAAAATATCCAGAGGAACAAACGTACTTAGCAACACCATCCACCCTTTATATAAGGAAAACAAAGAGATGATAGAGGTATCTAGTTTTGGTCATTCAGACAAGTGAAAAGCTGTTATGTACAAGTATATCCAGCAGCAAAAGAAATAAAATTCTTCACAGGAGTCAATATGTATGTGTTTTAGGATTGATTGACAACATGATATAGTCTCAAAAAAAGAATTTGTTGAAGTTCTGTGCCCAGATCCCTTGAGATTAAGGTGATACGAAATTAGCAGGTACACTCTTTGATACATGAATAACTTATTACTTATCAATTATTACTAATAGATTACTACAAGAGTTTATATGAAGGTACAAGAAAAAATAGTGTCTATTTTTACAGTAGAGGGAGGTCACTTGTAGCATACCACTGGGACCTCTGCTGTTCAGCATATTCTTAAATGATCTGGAAAAAGGAGTGATTATGGTGGTGACCAAGTTTGCTGATGATGCTGAATTATTCATGGTAATAAAAACAAAAGCTGACTGTGAAGAATTGTGGAAAGCTCTCATGATAATCTGTGACTGAATGATAAAATGGCAAGTTAAATTCTGTCCTGAAAAATGGAAGTAATACGCAGGGGGAAAAAAAAAAAAAAAAAAAAGCTAAACCTTACATGCAAAATGCTGGAATCTAAAATGAATGACTACCACACAGGAAAGAGCTTAAGTTCTGCAAAAATATCAGCTCATTGTTTAGCAGCACTCAAATGTGGAATTCAGATTTGCTTTATCAGTAAAATAATAGAAAAACAAATACAACAAAAAATATTAATCTATATAAAAGCATTTGGTTTGTAATGAATAATGAGGACCATCACAAACTTCTAGAGTAGAATTAGGAAGGGTGTAGATTAAGGTAAGATAATTTACTGAAAATATGGAATGACTTCCAATAAAGGAGAAGTTAAATTTACAAAGACTCTCGGTGTAAAACTGAAGGTGGTATGTGCATTCATGAATGGTACGGTTAGGATAAGAGGGAAAACTACCCATCTATTTTGTTAAGAAAACTAGTAATGGATAACAAAGGAAATTATCAGGCAGCAAGCTCGAAACAAGCAGTGAGAAATATGTTTTACATAGTGTTCAATTAAATTATGCAACTTGCTGTTCTCAATGTTGTGAATGCCAAGAGGTATTCAGATAAATGCTTGTAAGAGATATCCTCTGCAAATATAGATGCTGTTTTTTCCTCAGCAACTCCAAACTCAGCACTGAATTTGAGACAAGGTACTTAAGACAGTATCTCTGTATGCTTCCTAATTCCTACAGTCTTTCACTAAGCATATACCACTAACCACTGAATTGCTGCAGGACTATTCATTATTCACTGCTCTTGAAATAAAAAGGAAACAATCAGTGAAAGAGAAACATTCAAATGTAATAGTGACCAGAGGAAATTATTTTGGAAGATATATTACTGCAGGAGTGTGTATAATCAACGAGTATACAGATGTATAATCAATATGTATACAGAGAAGTTAGGCTGGAAAGCTTATTGCGTTAGAGAGGGATAATTAGAAATGAATGGAAAGCTTCCCCATGTCCTGGACTCACAGAAGAAGACTCCAAGAGGAGCAATCTCGAGAAAGAGACCCTTCCTCCATGGCAGTCAGCCCTTAAGTGGGGTCTAGGAGAGCTGCAGCCAGGCTCCCCCCCTTCCAGCAGCACAGGTTAATCGCCTTCACCTGTGCTCCTGCGGCTGACTCAGTGCTTGCCTCAGGTGATCAATCAGAGGTTCAGGCTGTGATTCAACAGTTCCCATACAGAGTGAGATTAATAGAATTTTAAAAGTACTGAGCTTTTCTGTTGCTAATAATAATCTACACGCTTAACTTCCAATTAGAATAAGATGAGCACAAGATACAAACCCAAGTGTTTCATAATATAACCAGTAAATATGGAGGGTTTTGATAGAGGTGTTTTTCTGAATGGTTGTCTATTACCAAGCATTTCAGCCTTTTTCTGAAATACCCGGTACAACACTTCAGCAGGAAGTTAACAGGGCAGAAAGAAAAGGTGTCTGAGGCAACTTTTTTTTTTTTTAACCTTCTAAACTATGAGAAAGATAAAGCAAAGACTTATTACAGAGAAAACAGATGACAAACTCATTGCTTATACTATCACTGTTTAAGAATATACCAGACAACGGTGTCCAAAAGCATACTGAAATGCTTTTAAAGACAAAGCTCCTTGAAGAGGAAATTGAAATACTGTATTGAACAAACAACTGAATGAATTAATGCATGTTGATAGTTTGGTGTATTTTTTTTTTTGTCTTCTAAGATTAAATGTTCTTAGTTAATTCTAAATCAATTATTTCTTTTATTTCTGGATTCAAGGTGACCAAAGTTTTGCTCTACAAATTCACATCCATTCCTACCTCTCCCATCTGTTCTTTTGCTAAGTAAACGTTTCCCAAACATTGGAAATTCAGTTCCAGTTTCTGTTCTGCTGTAAACAATTACTGCTTTCTCCTCCATCTCCACTATACGGAGGAGCAAATCACTCAGAGGACAAACTGAGTGAGTGTTGCTAGTTCATCTATCAGATGGCTTCTGGTGGACGTCATGAAAAAAAGAGGAAACTGGAGTATCACAGAAGAGATGCAAAATGGTTTTAAGATGACTCCCTTTAATGTCCTTCTATGCTTGGGATCTTTTAGGCACATTAAGGTCATTTTCAGATTTTCCATCATAGGTATGAAGACATTTTCTTGAATGTAACTTAAGACTATAAAGTGAGTACTGCTTTCTAGAAACCTCGCACGCCCTATGAAACGTTAAGACCAGGCAAAAACGCGGGCAAAGGAACCAGGCACGTGCTCTGCTACTGGAGTTGCCGGAGGAGCGCGGCAACAAGTTCCGTTCAGAGACGGAGCACCGGCGCAGCACCGATGGCACAGTCGTCTTTATTTCTGAAACGACACCGGTTGTCAGCTACAAAGGAGACCACCGTCTGTGTCTCTCAGACAGACTCTCACACAGGGCAGGAGCTCTCCCAAGCGAGACGGCGCCCCGCACTCCCGGAAAGCCCGCCGACACGAGAAGCACCGCCCACTTCCACGGCGCGCCGAGCCGCGGCCGCGCCCCGTTCCCGCCCGAGGCCTGGCAGGCTCGCACCGCCTCACGGTCCGGGCAGCTGATGGCAGAAGCTTCAGGCACGCCTTCTGCGCGCGCTCGGGACTCCGACGCATGCCCCGTGGCGGTGAGGGACGAGGAGCGGAATCCGGCGCTCGGCAACGTTCGGCAATTTCCGTGCAGGCCCCGCCGCCATTTTCTCGCAGGCTCTCCGTGCTTGTCGGTTGCGCGGCTCTCCGTCCCGCTGGTCAGCGCTTTGTCCTGCTCGGCGATGGACGGGTGAGAGCGACGGCCGGGGCTGGCGAGGGGGTGGGACGAGGCCCGGTCGGCCGCGGCGGCGGCCGTGCCGCCCGCTTGGCTCCTGGACCTCTCCGCGCGCCTGGTCCCGTCGCGGCTGCGGGGCGTGGGAGCGGCCGCCGCCCGGCGACGAGGGGACGGCCGGGTTCCGGCCGCGGGCGGGCTGGGGCGCGGGGCCCGGAGCCGGGTGGGAAGGGGGAGCTCGGCCTCCCCGCAACGCGGGCCCCTGCCGGGGTTTTGGGTTTACGTAGCCAGGGCTTTGGGCCGCGCGATCCCGCCCCCTGCTCCGTGTGCTATTGCCCCGCGCCGCGCCCGGGAGCCCCTCGGCCCCGCCGTTGCTCCTGGGCGCGGGGCGAGGAGCCGCTCCGTGCGGCACGCGGCGTGTGTTGGAGCGGGCTGGGGAGGAGGAGCGATACCGGCGGGAGCTCTTTTGTTTTAGCCCGGTAGCCCTCTGGCTTCCTCCCCTCCCCAGGTAGAAAAATGCCTTTGTGTATGCGGGAGACAGGCTGTAGGAGCCACAGAAAGGAACGCTCCGGAGGAGCCGGGAAGCAGTGAGGGCCTCGCTTTGGCGGGCAGAGGGCTCAGGGCCCGAAGTTTTGGACCCGGGGAGGGAGGGAGCTGCTGGCTGCTGCCTTCATCAGTATAAACACAGCACCTTCCTGCTGCCAGATACCCAACAAGTTATTTGTTTTGGCTCAAACACAGAAGCAATCCCTTTGGCATGCTTTAGGAGCGTAACCTTTCAACTTCGAGAGTTTTAAAGGCTTATTATGGTTACTTCTGACTGTCGTGTTGGGAGTTACAAGTCCGGCCGAAGAAGTCTTGGCACTGATGAGTGTTGTTACGCTGTGGTGCTTTCACCCGTTCATATTTTACTTTTTTTTTTTTTTTTTTTCTTTTTTTCTGGTGGTGTTTTCTGCTGCCTTTGGAGTTTTGTTGCATAGTGTAAGTTACAGCGTTCTAGCGTCTAGGAATCTGCATCTAGGAAGATGGTGTACCTTGGCGTACCTGTTGCAGAGTTCCATGTAGATAGGAGATCTGATGGTTAAATTTTGATACCAGCCAATGTGTTCTTTTTCCAAGCTTGTTTCAAAACCTGTGTTTATTGCTTTCTTCTGTAAGGAGTTCTCTGAGTTGAACTGGATGCCTAGTTACGGGGTTTGTGAGAAAAGTTCTGTGTTTACTTTTAAGTTGTTCCTTTTTTCACCCGTTTGTGATCTCACGTCATCCAGAAACCCATGTTTCCTAAACGTACTTCCTAGTAGTGTGTTGCATTAGAATAACATTTACCTGAAACTTTGAAGCCTATGAGCAGGTGGAGCTTCCGTAGTTTTCTCCTTTATATTCTGTCATCTTTTTTTTCTTTGGCCACATTTTTTGGATTGGGAAAGTTGTTAACTAGTTTGACTCCTAATTACTCTGATGTTGCAGAACAAACCAACAAAAGCCCTTGGTTTTATGAGAACAAGTTGGTTGACTTATGTTTCTTTTTTTTTCCTTACAGCATTGTCACTGATGTTGCAGTTGGTGTGAAGGTAGGATGTGCTCTTAACAAATAAGCGGGTACACTGCTGATACAAAATGAACTGCTTTGAGCATGTGTCATTGCAAATTTTAAGACTTTAAGCAGTCACTGTCAGCTGATATTTAGTCAGCAGTATATGCTTTATTAACAAAAAATCCCTAGAGATAAATTGGAGGCCCTACACAAAAGACGCTTCTAGGCACTAGACTGTAAACAGGAGTTCTAAATTAATGTAGTGCTATCACATTCCTATTTTAAAGCTTTATTTTGCAGACTATTTTTCAAAACAATGCTGTCTCTTGTTTTTTGTTGATGTTTTCATCTCCCCTCATCCTCTTTCAAAATAGTTAACGCTGAAATTAAACAAAGTTGTTTTATCAATACAGGAAAAAGAGAGTGCTAGAGTTTACGTAGGCAGAGAAGTAAACGTTTTCCTTGCTTGATTTTTTTCTCTCCAAGTTTAGTTACAAACTTGTTGTATTTGTTGAAACAAGGAAGGAGTTTTCTGTAGGTTATTAATTATTTATTTAACTTCTGTATCCAGTTTTGTTGCAAGAACTGGATCAGTACTTCATAAAAACATCTTGAGAAATAATGAGAATGGAAAGATCTGTGGGAGAAGAGAACTTAAATTGTTAATTTCAGGGTGTGCATGAAAGTTTTCTTGTGAATATGGTCTCTCCCACTTGTCTGGGGAGTTTGAAGCTGTGTTGCATAGCTGCCTTTTCACCTGAAGCTGGTTTATGTTAACTGCTTGGTGAACCAGGTTTGTGTAGTTAAGCTGCCTGGCTCAGGTTCAGTAGTGGTTCTGCTGGATTTGGGCTAGCCCTTACGTAATACAGTTAGCCTTTAGATAACAGTGGCTACTGTGTTGGGTGAACCTGCGTTATGTTTGAGTAAGCTCTCTTCTAGGAGGAGTTGTAATGAACTGTATGTTCTGGACCTACCTGGGTCCGTGTGTGTGTTCAGTACTGCAGATATATCATTCTTGTACAAAAAGTACAGTTATTAAAGTACTTCTGTGGGAGCTCATTCCATTCAGAAATACAGACTGGTACAATTGTTTCCCCATTATCTGGGAGGACAGTGTCAACTGCCTACAACTGTAGGAGTGTATTTAACAGTTAAACTGAAGTCTTTCAGAAATAAACTGCACCACACGAAGAACTTTGTGGCAAAACAATTCATAAAATCACTCTCATTCATTTGTAATGAAGAAGCAATTTCAGGCAATCCGTGTATTATTTGAACATAAAATTCTGATGTTCTTAATTCAGAAGTTGATTCAATATCAATTCTTAGTATGAGTAACTTAGAATCGTACAAGAATGTGAACATTCCTGAAATACTTTGTGTGTAGAGCAATTTTGGAACCATATTTTCAGGTACTAGCAAGACAATGAATGAAGGCACATCGAATGACATAACTACTTCTTTCTGCTGATTGTAGAAATTGTGGATGTAATGTAAGAAAGGCAAGGGAAGTGTATCAGAAAATGATTAAGTTAAATACAGGGAAATGCAAGCAAGTATATAAAGACATGATCTTTGTCACGTGAAAATGGTATTGTTGGTATAGAAGGAAACAATCTATACACAGGAGCATAGGGAAGAAAATAAAGACAATGGTTTTCTGAAGGAAGCTGTTAATAAATAGGATAAGGTGGACTGTCTCGTAGAGCTTCTGTAACTGTCAGGACACCAAGAAGAATGTGACGTGGAATTTCTTACCAATTCATATTCATGTTTGTATAAGCAATCTCATGTTGGCTCTCGTCATATTTTCTAGAAAGCATTGTGAAACACTTGTGTGTTTCTTTTCTCCGGTGGATGTTTGTGACTATTAAGAAACCTAATGCTCTAAAGCTGGGGGATACTTTACCTGGTAGTAAGTATAGATGATTGGGAAAATTCATGGGGCTTTAACTTAGGTGTCATCTGTTATTAGGGGTGTATTGGGAGTGGGTAGAGAGCAACTTTTGAGTGCCAAGGTCTTGCATCAGCAGACTTAATGCTTGTTTAGTACTGCTTTTATCATGATTGGGCAGCCATTAGAAGCAGACAAGGATTTATCTGTGCTTGCACATGATGACTTACCCAGGCTGTTTGTGTGACCTTACACTTGAAGTTTTTTATACCTGCTGTATGTGTGCTGATCAGCTATAGAGCTTATTTCCTTATACTTGGAGAAAAGGCCTGTGACCCTTCTCTTAGAAAATACGGTTTATCAAAATCATCATCAACTATGGAAATTGTATTAACTATTTTGTGGCAGGCTGCTTTTGTAAGCAGAAAAGTGAGCTTGTTAGCTATGTTTTAAACCCATTTGTTAAGACTAGTAGTGGAAGTTAGCAAGTGTAGACAGGGGAGAAAAAAATGGGTTTTCAGCTTTGGGAACTGTATGTAGGCGAGTATAAATAAAGGGAATAATTGCTTTTAATATTCTCAGTTATATAGTCTAACTGCAAATTTCTAATGAGGTTGTAAAATTTAAGTTATTACTGTTTATTTGAGCTATGCAGCATGGCTTGATTTAAAGTATTTTTGTTCAACCAACTCTTGAGTGTTCCATCTTTATTTTATTTGTGTGCTGAGTCAGAAGAAATTAAAATACCAAAAGCTGAGGAAAGCATTTAGCACAAAATGAAGGAGTGGAGAAATGATGAATGTTATTTGAAAGCTTGGTTTACGTGTTGTAAATGTGGTGTTCTGTCTAAAATCTAATACGTAATGAGAACATACTTCCCGGCTAATATCTGTCAGAGAAGCAGTCTGCTTATTTTGTGGAAGAATTAGGATATGTCAAAATGCAGATGACTTGTGGCAATAATGTTAAGTAATTCATACTTGATTTGATATGTAGTGTCTTGTTTGGCTGACTTGGAATTCACGGCGTGCTTTTGCACAAAGTACACCCCTTTCAGTACAATTTAGGTAGCAATATGAAAATACTGAGTTTTAACTCTGTGTCAGGTGTTACTTTGTGAACTCCCACTGTTTATAAACAGTAGAACAACAGATTTAAGGCTTCCAGTAGCGACAGTAATACTGTGTCGAATGTTCCTTCTTCAGGTTTCCATTTCTTGAAGAAATTCTGTACATCTTAAGTTTATGGATTTGTTTGTGCACACTTTTGAAAATTGCCATGTTATATAAAATGTTTTTTTCTGACTGTACATTTTAGTTGCTCTGTTTTTATTACGTGTGGCCCATAGTATTTAAAACAAAATGGCATTCTAAATTTCAGGGAGTTTCAGAGACAAGTTAGCATCTTATGTCTGTAGTCAGTGAGGAATGTCAGTTTTGGCATTTTGACATCTGGATCCAACAGCTGTAGTTAGAATTGCTGTCTTGTGTTCTCCTTACAGTTACAACACTTTGATCTGGCCAAGTAAACTTACTTGGTACTTGGAGTGGTGGAGGCCTTTAGACACAGGGAATGTAGGCAGTATATAATCTATCTTTTCTGTGGAGAAATAATGAAAATCTTCAGAGATACAGAAGCTGTGATGGAAAGAATGTACCTCCCAGAGATGCAGGGAATAACTGTATAGTTATACAGTGAGCTGCTAGTTGGTACTGATAGTTCTCTTTGTAAGCGTGGGCCACTTCAGCTTACTGTATCACCTTTCTCCTGATTGGCACAAGTAGCTGTGCAGTGAATGTGGCCTGAGCAATTGAGTGACTCATTTGGGGATGTGCACTGCACGTTTCAGGACGGCTACAGTCAGTTTGCTTATGACATTCTACCTGATGAGCAGAAAAAGTGGTGGGGCGAGGGCTTTCTTTCTTTGTTTGTTCTTCTAATATGTGTACTTGGTACATAGCATTTGGGAATTTGTAACACTGTGGAGCTGCTTTGGGTTACAGTCTGGCCAAGAGCGGAGCTTCAGCTGCCAAATATGAACAGCCCAGGTTATATCTAGGAAAAGAAAGCTCATGTATTACTGTAAATACAGGTTTGTTTTGAAGATCTGGGAGTAGGATTTTTTCCCAAGAGTGAGAGCATCAACTTTTTTAGAAGGCGTAAGAAAAGAGGAAATTCATTGGGATTTTAGTTGGTAATGTTAGGGTTGGGTGGGAGATGCTAGAACATGGCATACTAGTGCTTTCTGTTAGCTTTCTGACAAGCGGTCTATCACAAAGGTCCTCTTTTCCCTGATTGCTGAAATTTAACAGTGTGGAGGAAAGGCAGTAGCTAAAACCAGCACAAAGTTGAAGGAGAGAAATAAGAGAGCGCTGAGAAACAGTGTTTGTAAGTACTCCCTAAGTAGTATTCAGTTCTTTTTTTTTTTTTAAACTCAAATTCTGAGAGATTTTCCTAGGAAATTATAGAAAACTGAGTGTTTTTTGCTACTAATAATGGAGAGCTTCATTATGGTGGAAACATTTTGGTCATATTGTGACTTTTTATTTAAGCTGTTTGTCATATACTTTAAAAAGGAAGCACAGAAGTAATCTATTAGAAAATCTAGCAAGTTAACAAAAGATAAGTTTAGCCTCCCTTTAGGAAAAGAAAAAATGTATTTTAGTAGACTTTTTCCTTCTGTTTCTTTTTTTCCCCATGATGTACTGTTTCACCATGATGGTCATCATTCTTAGATAAGAGGAGGGCAGTGAAAGCGTGGGAAATTGATTCTCTTATATGGACAAATGCCATGTGATGATCTGCTTTATTTTTTGTAAAATACTGGAGTGTTTCTCATACTAATTGGGCTGTTAGTAGGTTAGACCAAGTTTCTGCTAGGGGCAGTGGTACAAAAGCTGTTTGCCTGTGAATTGGACAAACTGTGTTAGCTGGGATAATGATTACAACTGTATTCAGCAATATTTTGTTACAGCAGCGCTAGTAAGGAAGAATGTTCTGAACATTCTAACAGTGAAGTGGGAATGATGTGTAGATTTATTTCTTCAGCGGGAGTATGTAAAGTATGTCCTTGATGGCAAAAGCAACTGAAACAATACAATGAAAGACACCTGTTTATGAAAGATGTTAAAATGGACCCTGTT